CTCTCTCTCTCTCTCTCTCTCTCTCTCTCTCTCTCTCTCTCTCTCTCTCTCTCTCTGTGTGTGTGTGTGTGTGTGTGTGTGTGTGTGAGTGTGTGAGTGTGTGAGTGTGTGAGTGTGTGTGTTTGTATGCACGCGCATGTGTGTAAATGTTGGTGTGTTTCTTTGGGGTACTGCTGTCGTTTCGTTTCCTTATTTCTGCAGCCGGCCTTCTCACAATGTGCTGGTCATGGAGCATGTGTCACCAGCAACACGTCTGCTTGAAAAACGGCGGCAAATGTTTGAGGTCCAAGAGGCCTTGGAAGCGCAGAAGGCAGAATTTGCAAGGTACACATGATGAGTAACTGTGTCCCGAAGTATAGAATCTCATACCATGCTGTGTTTCCTATATTTATTTCCAACTCTGCAGCGTGCCTCCTGAGGCTGGCTAGAGGCCTTCGTCGGTGCTCGCAAGAGTTGAGCCTCGTGGGGTAAGGTAACGTATTGTTTTAGACATGTTATAAACCAGTACGTGGAGACCAGCCCTACCACCAAATCCCAAAAACAAAAATGCATATCCCATAATCCCAGGCCTTTGGGTGGTCAATGGGAAAAACAGCTTCCCGTGGGTAGTCGATGGCTGGGGTCAGCATAGAAGGCAGTAGCCCTTGGGAAAGGCCTCAGGTGCTAACCAATGGAGAAGTTGATATAGTGGAATATGCTATCTCTGGAGAGCACAGCTATTATTCAAACTCTACCAAGAGGAACAGTCACATTCGTCTGAGAATATTACACAATTCAAGCAAGGTTGGGGAGATTCTATAACGTGGTAGAATCAACCATACCAGCAGAGGGTTCAGGCTGCACATGAAACGGATACTTCAGTTCCTTTTTCAAGAATGACCATTTGCAGGGTCCGCTGTTTCTTGCCCCTCAAGTGGGAGAATGGCTAATAGATTATGCTCCTGTCTATTCTAGCCTGCCTGACCTTCTGGATATTGGAATATTATCCCATAATGCATGGCATAGAGACGCACTTCACCCTCCTGCTTCAATGAAGCTCTCACATGCTGGGGATTCTCCCACCTACCGGTAGCAGCAAGCCCTATCGCCTCTGACTCCCAACTGACTAAGCCAAACCTCGCATACAAAGGAGAAGCCCGGTATGCATAATGTCAAGGATGTCTACTATGACTATAATACAATATACAAAAATCAGCTATCCTAAAGAGTCGTAAAGACTAAAGTCAATTATGTCGCATGCCTACGGACAACAGACAGGTATGACTCATCATGACTCAGGATTGACAGCAGGAGAACGAGCAATGACTATGCAGCGGAAGACTGAACTACACAGATCTGACTCATCATGACTCAGGATTGACTCCATTCATTCACCATCACTCGCATGTAATGGACATGGTGGCTCACACATGGAAGATAGCTGCCATATCTGAAACACATCCACAGACGAGGTGGGGAGAAGAAGAGGGAGGAGTAAACTCCACAGCCCTGAGAATGAGTAGTCTCCAATAATAATCCTCAAAGTCTCTGTCAGAATACAATGTCTGAGTGTGGGCAATCGCCCGAATGTCACCAAGTCTCAACTCTCTCTCTCTCTCTCTCTCTCTCTCTCTCTCTCTCTCTCTCTCTCTCTCTCTCTCTCTCTCTCTCTCTCTCTCTC